GTGAGGTATAATTTTGCTGCACTGCACCTGGGGCACTGGGTTGGGGTGCCTGTTGCAAGGTAGTAGGGGGTGACAAAACTGAAACACTCGGGGTCACAGTCACAGATTCTGTTACCTTCTCGCTTCTAACATCAAGTCCGTCAACCTTTCCTCAGCACGTTCAATTACTTCTTGTGTTTCTTCCTGTAAACTGTCCGATTCTTTCATTATTTCCGATTGTAACTCAGTATTTTCCATTTTTAAAGCTAACACACTCATCTCATCCATCACCGCCTGTGCTTCCTCTAAAATTTCCCATATTTCCTCGATACAACTCTCGATTTCCTCTCTTGTAGCTCTCATCTTAGCTAATTTCTGCAAACGATGCTTCGATTTAGTTAATCTAGTCTTTCGGGTTCTTTTTTCCTTTCTCAATTTAACTAATATTTCTCCGTACGGTACAGCTACGTTTCCTTGTCCATTTTCCTTCGATACTCCGCTTTCCACAACGTTTTCCTTCGCGTTTCCCTCCATAGATAACTCGGTAACTTCGTCGTCCGACATTATTGCTCACATTTGCCTTTCAAAATACGCCAATAAACACACAAAAATTCGATACATCGTCCTGGCAGGATCGCCAAATGTCATGCAGACGCTTGCTCCGCACTCGAACAAATCAAATACACACGATAATTTTAGATTTTTTAATCAAAATATAAAATATGAAAGACAATACAAAATAAAAACAGCGAAAAATTCAACTCGAAACACGCTCTAGTCCTAGTCTTTTTGCTCGGTCAGGTGTTTCCACCTTCCAGTGCCAAAACTTCAGAAAACTGAATATATATTAACCACAATGTCAAATCCCTCTTAAACATCCATTATGACTATTATAAAATAGATCGGAATAAACAATTCAAAATCACAGTTCACGAAACAGACATCCTTAATTCCCATTTCACGGAGCATTTTTATCGACAATCACGCCTCACGGCTGTAGAACAAATCACATATCATGACAGTAAAATCATGCATTTCACACGATCAAATATTGACCATTCACGCAGTGGCGTAGATAAGGGGGGGACTCAGCCCCCCCCCCCCCAATAGGCTGAAGGACTGCCCTTGTAAAAAGATGAAATCCGGGTAGAAATTTGGGGGGGGGGGGACAATGACTGCCCATGTGACTACCAATCTCATCTGTTCACCAAATTGTCTATAAAAGTTCTAATCTTTCCTAAATCTAACTACAGAAAATAATGCCTATGGTGGTTATTGGTTAAAATGCGTTTTAAAACTTCGATTTAACTATTCACACGCGACCAATTAAGTAAGCTTCGTTGAGTCAAATTAAGGATCCACATTATTAAGAAATCATTAAAAATCAGGTCTTTCCTGCGGTAAATAATCTTCAGAATTATGCAAAATCTATCCCCAGAAACACTGGAAATCGCCATTGAGGGACTCCAGATTTCAAAATTTTCCTGGGGGAGAATGCCCCCGGACCCCCCTAAAAAGGCTTACGCCTTCGGCGTTCGATATATGCCCGCCCCTCAAAAAATTATAGTCTGGCTACGCCACTGCATGCGCCCCACCCCCCCTCCCATATTCTAACCCACCTTCCCCATAAATAATGACCACTCCCTTACACTTGATCCAATTTTGATCGCGGCTATGGTCTACATTTAGTAGACGTCCATAGCCCCGTATAAAGTGGGCCAAGTATAAAATTGGCCAAGTATAAAATGGGCTGTGATAGTTATATCACAGAATAGGAAGGTATACCAGAAGTCTCACTCAAGCAAGTATTTGTCCGCATTTTTACAAGCGATTCGTCATCAATCACGCCATCCTGGCTAGTACAACCGGCACTTTGTACCTACCAAAACCTGATAAAAACTTCCGGCTGTACTAGCCAGGATGGCGTGAGCGAGTTAAAATTTTCGTGGGTTACACTTCTGCTTTACTTTCCTATTTTGTGGTTATATGCTGTATATTAAAATACATTCTTCAGTCGGAATATAACCATACGTGGTTATTATTGTATTAACGCTATAGTAAAAATTTAAAAAAATATTGTGCACGCGGCAAGATTCGATAAAAAATAATCGTGCGGAGTCGGTGAGGTCCAAAAAAAAATCGAGCACTCTCAAAAATGCGCCCCCCCCCATGAAAAATCAAATGGTCCGTCCCTTTTTTATTTATAGGTCTGATCACAGGTTATAATCACGGCCGTAATGCTATGCTATTACTTTGTAATATCATAGTTGACGAGGGAATCGCGAGTGGTCTGTTGCCTGTTTTGAGGAATGCTGTTTGATTGTCTTATGATTGTGGTACGAACACTTTTCATATATACACACGCGCAGAAACACATATCCGCGTTCATTGGCGTTTTAAACATGCGCATAAACGGAATTTTCTCCCACAATTGAAATATTCAAGATTTCCAACCAGAATTCTGTCAAATCTTTCCCAAAGTCCAGGAAATGGCGTTTCAGAGACTCTAAAGCACCCCCGACAAAAAGAGCTTCCTGCGGCACCGTAAACTTAACACTACTCCAAACCCTATACTCCTAACCGATTTTACTCGTCAACGGGGACGCTTTTGTAGGCATGTTCTAGTGCACCCTACTTTTTTTTACTTGTTTAACTCCAGACGATTTAACTCGTCAACAAGAAACTCTGCAGCTTAATGGTTGAATAGGCATGCATATTAATTGTTGAAAGCACACGTAAATGAACGATCTGATGCCTTCTACAGCAAGTTTAAATAGCTCATTTATATACAGTACTGTACATTTATTATAGTGGTGGTGGGGGTGGGGGATTCACAATTTTTTAGAATTCATGTGAAGGGGGTTATTGAATTTTTTTGTGATGGAGAGGGTGGGGTAGGATATTTTCTTTTGCCAGCCCACGCCCGGTCATAAATAATGAATGGACCCTAAATAGGGGCATCACGCAATTTAATTATATGCATAATTATTACTCTATATAAAAATTAAATATCAAGAAATTAAATATGAAGGATAATCAATGTCTAACTCAGTTGTTTTTGAATTCTGTTAACTTTGCCTCCGTAGGTAGGCTGTTCCATATATAGCACTGCACCACTGTACCAAAAACTTTTTTTTAAATATAAAGTACTTGTTCTAGGAACTGGCAGATTAGTATTAGCACTTCTAAGATTGTAATTATTAAGATTTGTATCCCTTCTAATAAATTTATCTTTTAGATTTGGAGCAGAGTGGTTGTTTAATATTTTATAAATCAGGACAGATTTGTTCTTTTTCGTTTATCGTTCAGATTCTTCCCAGACATAGCATGGAGTAAATTGGACGACCTAACGTCGTAATTGGCACCTGTCATATCTCTTGCCGTTCTATTTTGTAGTTTTTGAATTTTCTCTTTAAGCATGGGTCCACAACTCTCCCATAAGGGTGAACAGTAATCAAAATCAATAATCCAAAAAACAATACATCTGAGTGAACCTCCATGGATGAATTCTACCCTCAAACGCCTCATAAGAAGTCGCCAAATAGCTCTTGCCCAAGGAAATTATGATGAGTTCCGACGCTTAAGGAATCGTGTTAATCGAGAACGGAAGACATGCCGATCAAAGTACTATCACGGCCCAGCTCACGGCCCAGATGGCATTCCAACTTGGTTGCTGAAAGAAAACGCCGACCTACTAGCAGATTCGGTGAAAGATATATTAAACCACTCCTATAGTACTGGCCGGTTACCAAAATCCTGGAAAAAAGCAGATATTGTACCGATTCCCAAAAAGAAGCCAATATCTGATGTCAACAAGCACCTTCGTCCAATCTCCTTAACATCTATCCTTTCTAAGATTGGCGAGGGTTTTGTAGTTCGCGATTTTGTCAAACCAGCTGTCCTAAAGAAGATTGGGAATGAGCAGTTTGGAACTGTTCCAAAATCATCTACAACACAAGCGCTAATTAGTATGCTTCACTGTTGGAATAAAGCTACGGATGGGTCTGGATCATCTGTTAGAGTGGTCTTATTCGATTTTACAAAAGCCTTTGACTTGATCGACCATAACATCCTTAAACGAAAGCTCTCCAACTATGACCTTCCGCCGTGCATTGTGTGCTGGATACTCGATTTCCTGACGGATCGTAAACAAAGGGTGAAACTGAGCAACGATTGCTACTCAGAATGGGGAACTGTTCCAGCCGGTGTTCCCCAAGGAACTAAACTTGGCCCATGGCTTTATCTGATTATGATAAACACTGTTGGTGTAGCAGATGTTGACCAGTGGAAGAATGTTGACGATACAACGGTTGCAGAAACTGTGTTGAAGAATGATGCAAGTGCCATGCAAGAGTACGTCGAAGATCTGTCGAACCAGTCCTTAGCTAACAAGTTTCAGTTAAATGAAACGAAGTGCAAAGAGTTACATATCTTTCGCGAAGTTTCAGCCCGATTTTGCCCCTATTCGCATTAATGACAAAGACATTGAAGTAGTTACATCGGTAAAGCTATTAGGTCTTAACATCTCAAATGATCTTAAGTGGAATACGCACATTTCTGAGATCGTACGAAAAGTGTCAACTAGACTGTACTTTCTTAAACAACTTAAACGAGCTCGCCTTGCAACGAAAGAGATGCTGCTATTCTACTTAACTTGCGTGCGTCCAGTAACAGAATATGCCTGTCACGTTTTCCATAATTCTCTCACTAAATATCTATCTGATGACTTGGAAAAACTACAAAAACGAGCACTCGGTATCATTTTCCCACATATACCATATTGTGATGCGTTAGAGCAAGCTGGTTTGGACTCCTTGTACAGCAGAAGAGATACTCTAACGAAAAAACTGTTCAACGATATTGTTCAAAATACATCTCATAAACTGCATGCACTGTTACCAGAGAAAAATAGATCTAGTATGAATTTGAGACGTAAGAACATGTTTAACTATCCAGTGTGTAAAACGAACAGATTCCAAAACAGTTTTATTATGGCAAATGTAAAGGAACAATACATATAAACCCAATTGTAGTGTTGCGCAATAATAAATTAAAACAAACTAATTTAGGACAGATACATTTTCATAGTTTTAATCAAATTTTTAAAATAGATATATTTAATTAGTCATGATTGTAAAGTTTATGTATAATTCAGCTGTGGTTGTATTGGGAGCTGTAAAATTTTAAACTTAATAAACTATCTATCTATCTAAAAGTATGGTAGGACGAGTCAGAGCATTATACAAGAGACGAGACCATATTTTCTCATCCTGACGTCCGATTTTCGTCCTGGGATTCGAGGTTGCCATTGCAATTTTCTATGATCGCTGAAAGTTTATCATGCACGCAGAGTTCCTGATTAGAATGAGAGCAAACACATGCCATGATTGTTTGCGCATTTATGTGCATGGTTTAACAATGTAAATGTAATTAATGTTCCTCACACCTGACATTGGTGTTTGGCAGATTTTGATTAACGTCGCTGGGAAAAACATTTCATATTATAAAGCACAGTGAGCATAGTATCAAACATTAGAAGTCTTGCATAGTCATGATATTTCCTTTATCAATTTGTAATATTGTCTTAATAATTAGTTTGTGTATATTAGAACAAGGCAATAAGATCTGGATACTATTATAGACGTATCCAGTGAAATAGCGGTCTCAGGTACATGATATGATATTACTAGTGGACGGGTATTCTGAAATATAATTACTTCTCTTCAATTGGAATGATATGTAGTTTTAACTCGCAATAATAGTTCTTAAGTTTTTCGGAACCAGAGAAACAAGTTTGTAGATTTGCTATGGCATCGCGAAGCAAATCGTTTTTCTCCATCTTTCTTCATGAGTATGAGTATAAGTATGAAAAACTTTATTTTAGTAGGGTAAACCTTTTAGCGTTACAAGTAATGCTGTTATCAACAGGTGCCCCACGTTCCAACAAATTTAAATATACAAAGGAAGAATACTAATAGCAATATAAAGATACACCTAAAACTATATTTACATTATATTGAAATATATTTAATGTTAAAATGTATTTAGAGTCATAGTCAAGCATCGGTAACATCTGAGAATTTATTAAATACAACGCTGCCGTTATAGTAAAACGACTTCTTTGCAGCTTCCAATTTAACCCTGCGTACGTAAAATTGATTACTCTGTCTTGTACGCCGTGATACTCTATCACGATTAAATTTAAAGTAATTCATTAAAAGCTGAGGTACGTTTCCCTTCAAGCATTTGTTAACTAGCTTATAAACATGCATGTCCCGTCTTCCAGCTAAAGTAGTCCAGCGTAGGCGTTCGAGAGCAACGTCACTATGAGTGGATTTTTATACAGTTCTAGCTGTTCTACGCTGCACTCGTTCCAAAGAATCAGCGTCAGTCTTGTTACAGCATGTCCACACCGAAACTGAATAATCAAAAATCGGACGTATGAGACATCTGTACATAACGTTAGCGGCATTCAAAGTTAGATCCTCACGTATTCTCTTTAGCATACCAATTCACTGATTTCCTTTGGAAATTATGTAATTAAGATGAGATTTCCAGTTCAGGGCCTCATCCAGCACGACACCGAGGTACTTGAAACTTGAAACACGTTTGATTGGATTGTCGCCTATTTTCACATCGCAGTTCCGAGTGCCCGATAGTCTAGCTGAAGTACCAAATATGATAAACTCGGTCTTCTTCTTGTTTAAAAAGAGGCTGTTCTCAGTAAGCCAGGAATACAGAGTGTCTAGTTCCTGATTCAAAACAGCCTCGATCTCCTGAACATTTTGCGATGCGAAAAATAGTGGTCGAAGGAGAACAATGTGGATGTGGAGTGACAGATAAATGGTGTACCAGTGGATTACGCATGCAGGGTACGCAGGGATCGATCGATAATGCGCGGAGGTCTTGACGAAGAACAATGATGTGTCCGAATATCAATGAGGAGTCCGACTGTCTACCGAAAAACTGCTAAAGGGCCCATTTTCCTTGCCCTCCCCAGAATAGTATGCGATAGCTGAAGGTGTGAGCCGAGTGCCGCAGGCGCAAGTTACCTAGGGGATCTGGAAGCATGCTCCCTCAAGAAATTGTTAAAATTTAGACCTTTGGAATAGCATTTTCTGCATTCTGAGAACACATTTTTTTAAAAATTATTTTCTTTAAATAAGTTTTAATGGTAAAATTTGTAATATATTGCACGATAAACATTAAAAAACAACATAAGTTTAATATTTGTAATGTTACTCTGAGTGTATATCCACACCGGGCGAGCTTGAAAAATATGCCCGGCCACGGTGGGATTCGAACCTACGACCTTTGGAATACTAGCCCAATGCTCTTCCAACTGAGCTACGCGGGCAGGACGGTTCGAGTAAGTGATATTTCGGAACAGAATCTAGTTCCTTCGATACCAATGTATTCTAGTAATATGATTTTTTCTGTGAAAAGAAAAAATCATATTACTAGAATACATTGGTATCGATCAAAGGAACTAGATTGTGTTCCGAAATATCACTTACTCAAACCGTCCTGACCGCGTAGCTCAGTTGGAAGAGCATTGGGCTAGTATTCCAAAGGTCGTAGGTTCGAATCTCACCGTGGCCGGGCATATTTTTCAAGCTCGCCCGGTGTGGATATACACTCAGAGTAACATCACAAATATCATGTTCACCTGAGTACACAACACCAACACAGAAAAAATAACATAAGTTTAAGTATGCTCACCAACAAATTTTGTTTTTAATTTTTTTTTCAATCATTATGTTAAACTCATTTACTCAATACAGGTCTTAGGGCCCTGGATTTGGGGCAATAGGCCATTTTTCTTCTTCAGTGGTGGGGCAGAGATAGGGGCCCTGTGGGGCAAATGCCCCACCAGTCCGCGGTATTAAAAAATGCCTTCCAAACGCGACTTGTTTGGGTGTTAAAATACATACAAATTTTAAATTATTCTCACATTAACCACTGTGGACGTGTCTAGATTTATTCAATATGACTAGAAATACATGCATGCAATAACCCCTCGCCTGTTTTCAAAAGATATATACTCAGTGCCGTTGCGAGCACTTCGTCTCAGGGGGTGTGTGAGGTTAGATAGAAGGGGGGGGGGGTTACCAAAATGTTTCCAGATGCACAAAAAATTTTCAGGACATATAATAATTTTTCCGAAAATACAGTTATTTTGCAAATTCACTTTCTCATGTCCTGAGAATTACCTGAACTCCCCTGAAAATCTTCTGCAAATCTACTTAAATTTACCTAAAAGTGCACTGGAAATCTACCTGAAATTCCTCATGAACAATTATCAGGGGTGTTGCCCCCCAGTGAGTTTCAAGTAAACACTCTCCGTTTTATTGTTCATGTATTTCACCCCCCAAAATATTGTGCATCATACTCTAGAGCATTTTGCTGTTGTCATGCTCTAGCGTGGTTCAAATTTATGAATTTTTATTATAATGTATAGTGTTTTATAGAGATTTCGAGCACTGATAAAAATGATAATCTCACAGTCACATGTGAAATTATTCATGATAATCTCACATGTGAAAATGATCGCTTTTCCATTATCGCTTTTCTGTAAAAATTATCGCTTTTCAAAGACTGTCCTTTATATAATAAACAGAAAAATACATGGGTGGTTGGAAATACCAGATTTATTTTTCGTGTTGAACATGACATCTCACTCGTTCGCTGCGCTCACTTGTGAGATATCATGTTCAACACTCGAAATAAAGCTGGTATTTCCGTGCACCCATGTATTATTCTCAGATATTGAAACTACAACTTGACTGGTTTAAATTATTATCAAGTTATCAGTAATTGTAAAAGTTGCAGATAGAAGTGTTTTGTTTTATATTATTATCAAGTTATCAGTGATCGCAAAACCTCCAAATCCTTAATTTCAAAAGCCCCGCCGGGGCTAATCACCGCTAATGCACTTATCATCGGCTTCCCCAAGGGTCGACCCCCGAACCACCCAGGGACTTTTGTTAACAGGATGGAACAAAACATCAACAAAGCCCCTGGGTACAGGGGAAAGTTTAATGACAAAAATCATGTTACAGCTAGCCCCCTACCCCCGGGGCAAAAAAGCAAACATGTATTTGTATTTTTGTATTTAAAACTTCTTTTAAGACGCTGGCCCCATCAGCTACAGACTGGTTTTCATGGGGGGCGTCTACTACACTATATTATACTAAATTAACAAGACTACTGATTATATTACACTATATATTTACAAGAAGAAACTATTACTATTTACCAATTACACTATATACAAAAGGAAAAAAAAAAGAATAACAAACTAGATCAATATAACAGCACACACTATTGATAACTGCTTAAAGACGTATTTAAATAGATAAGTACTAGTTTTCGATTTGGATTAACCTCTTGAAAGTATAAATCGTAGGAGCACTCTTGGCATCATAAGACAGACTATTCCATAAGTTAGCTCCTCTATATTTAAAACTCCTTTTTAGAAATTCTTTTTTAGGTTTTGGAATTGAGAGGTCAGTATCATATCCTCTCAAATTATAAACATTATGGTCACTTCGTGCAGAAAATGTTTCGCGAAGGCATGGGGCTGTGCCATTTCTAAGGATGTTGTATACCATAACCGCCTTGTTGAATTTAAATCTGGTATCGAGATTTTTCCAATTGAGCCATTCAAGGAGTTCAGAGGAATTGGTATCATAGTTTGCTCCCGTCAGAACCCTTGCTGCTCTGTTTTGGAATCTTTGCAATTTTTGTTTTAGTAACGCCCCACAATTATCCCAAAGGGGAGAGCAATAATCAAAATATGGTTGAATTAATGCTTTGTAGATGGTGTGCAAGATCTCATTTGGGACAAATGATCTAGTACGTTTTAATATTCCAATTCCTGCACTAACTTTTTTACAGATTGAGTTAATGTGAGTTTCCCAACTTAGGTGTTCGTCAAGTTCAACTCCCAAACACTTAAATGACCGAAAACGAACCAATGGTTTGTTATTAAAAATCACCAATTTATTGCCAATTTTGTTCAGAATATTATATGGCGAGCCTATAAACATTAATTTTGTTTTAGTAGCATGGTGTTGCAATTTGTTGTCCGACAGCCATTTGCTAATATTTTTCAAATCAGAATTCAATAGATCTACCAATTCATCATAGTTATGAGATGAAGCATATATCTGTGTCATCGGCGTATAAACCCACCGTAGTATATTTTAAATATTTTGGCAAATCATTGATATATAATAGGAACATCAAAGGACCAAGAATTGATCCTTGGGGCACTCCACTCTTTATTGTTTTACGGGAAAAGAAATGATTATTAACACAACAGACTTGCTCACGGTTTGTCAGATAAGAACCAAACCAATTTAACTCATTATCATTTTCATGATCAATAGAGTCAAATGCTTTTTTAATGTCCATTGAAATAAGGCCAGTTATTTTGCCATCATCCATGCTTTCTAACCATTTGTCACACATTTGGATAAGTAAAGATAAAGTTGAGTGTTTGGGTCTAAATCCAGATTGAAATTTTGAAAGAAGTGAATTTTAAGATAAATAGTCATAAAGTTGCTTAAAAATTTCCTTCTCGAAAATTTTACTAACAACAGGAAGAATAGAAATTGGACGATAGTTCTCACATTTACTTCTGTCATCAGATTTATACATTGGCTGTACACGTGCTAATTTCCAATCAGTAACAAATATGCCAGTACGTAATGAAAGATTAAAAAATTTTGTTAGAGATGGGGCAATTATATCAGCTGAGATTTTGAGAACACTAGCTGGAATTTTGTCAATTCCAGTCGATTTCGATACTACCAATTGTTTTAAATTGTTAAGAATTTGCTCATCACTTATAACAGAAAAACGAAAAGTTGTATCAAGCCAAACATAACATCCATAACAAAAACAAAATATTATATAACTGGTGAACTGGATACAAAATACAGCAGAAAAGTAAACAATTTTAAAATAACCATCCAAAAATGTCAGGTTCAAGCATGTAAAGCATGCACGCTTGAAAGAATTTATTTGCGCATTCGCTGAATTATAAATAATTAGGGTAAGATGAAGTTTATACTATTCAAACTCAATGATTCTTAGATACGAGTAATGTCCATGCAATACAGGCATCGATATCTGATGTCTGATGGTGAAGATGGTGTATGATGGACGAAGTGTGTCAGATGGTGTATGATGGTATAAGGTGGTTGTACATGGAAGGGTTGTCAGATGGTGTATGATGGTGTATGATGGTCATGCAAATTAGTGTGTCGGATGGTTGTCAGATGGTGTATGATGATGTAGGGTGATTATACAGGGAAGGGTTGTCAGATGAAGATTGTGTATGATGGTCGAAGTGTGTCAGATGGTTGTCAGATAGTTGTCAGATGGTGTACACACCCCCTGAGACGAAGTGCTCGCAACGGCACTGAGTATACATCTTTTGAAAACAGGCGAGGGGTTATTGCATGCATGTATTTCTAGTTTATTATTACTTACATATACTGTGGCCAACTATGTATATAAAAATATAATATTATATCTCACATTACGGTTCTCATGTGGGAAACGTAATTCAAAGTATTTGACAGAATATATTTAAACACATTTGACACACATGTTCGAGGTAATAAATAACAATATAATATGAATATATTATATCTCACATTACGGTTCTCATGTGGGAAACGTAATTCAAAGTATTTGGTTAAATATATTGAAATGCATTTGACAGACATGTTCGAGGTAATAAATAAAAATATAATATAAATATACTTCACCACCTGACAACCGATGGTTATATCTATATTGGACATATATCTTAGATACCGCTGACCATATGTGAAACAAAATCCCGCGGGTTTATCCCAGGGATTAACAGTGCCTGTTACCAAACCCAAACATTTCACCTTCCCCGAGGGACACTATTTTTTACAAAAGACAACGAATCCCCTCCTGTTCCTGGGGTTCCCCCCTGGGGTGCCCAAGGGGTCGACCCCCGGGGAAGCCGATGATGACTGCTTAAGGTTCGAGTGGAAATGCCCAACCCCCGGGATGTGCTTTACAGGAAAATGGCTGGGCGAGGGGGGTGGGCACACTTGGATTTGGCTGATGCATTAAAAGTCATGGGAAAAGAAAAACTTTTCATATTGCTACTATAAAATGGCTTATTGTGCTTATTCCTGTGCTTATTCCAGACTGCTTGTCAAATATTTACTTGCAAGAAGTAGAAATTTACTCTGACCACTGGATGAAGAAGACATTAAATAAGTACTGGTCAATAAACAGAAATGTATTTTATTTCATAGTATTACAATTTTATTTTTATACTATAAAAATAAAATATAAACATGCAGCATAGAATATGCAAATTGGAGGCAAAATTATTGTTGATTCGGTTTATTTATAGGATTTTATAACAAATAGCAACTATAAAAGTTTGTACCTTGTCTTCACCGATCGCTTTATTCTGTTAGCCAATGCTTTTAGGCCCAGTTTAGACGCCGTGCTTTTCATGAGCCAAACTTAATTCATATTTTACTCGAGTAAAATAGGCGTACTTCCAATTTTGATTGAGACAGGCGTGCTTTTCATGAGCCGTACTTAATAATTTGCGCTGCTTCACTTCGAAATTTGGGGCGAGTGACATTTCATAATAAGAAAAAAGGTTTATCACATACAATCTTGTCATTTCTGAGCGTCTACAGGTTTGCGGTTATTAAAAATTTCAATTGCTTTTTGAAAAGCCTTATTACTACAAACATAGCATAATGCCCGGATATAACGAAACCTATAGGCTTAAGGCGAGTTTTTCCACGTTATTCGAGTTTTCCCAAACTACTACAAGTGTTTCTACAACTGTATGGGTCACACATAATAAATGTTTTATATTTATTTCATAATATATTAAAAAAAGATTTGTAGTAGACTCGATATATTTACAAATTCTCATTGCGTAATAATGCCGACCTTTGCATTGGCTTTGCTCCATCAATTTACTGCAAGAAACCCTTTTTGCCTTTCATCAGCAAATATCGCTATAAGCCTAATTTCGCAACTTTTATGCAAAGAGTCTAACGATAGGTGTACGTATCCTTTGCTACAAATTGACATATATGAAGAAAAGAAAGGGAAATTCTACCGCGATATTTGCCGATAAAGCGGTATTAAATCACTACAGAAAAAATAAAACAAATTACAGAAATACAAAACAAGCCATGAGAAGCGGGAAGGTTTTTGTATTTTGACTGTATTGAACAGTTTCTTAATTCGCATTAAAATTGTTTTGTTTACGATTGTAAGTTTAGGCGGGAAATTTCCCGTGTAGAAACACGCTTCTCGACCAATCAACGCTCGCGTACTATAAATGTTCTATATTTTCATAATTTATGCATTTGGTACGGCTCATGTAAATCACGGCAGTATAAATCAACATGTGCTTCAGCCGTGTAGCACGCCTGAACCAGGCGAACTTATTAATTTAGCCGTGCTTAATATTAAGTGCAGTGCTTAATTGATTTAGACGCCGTGCTTCTCATGTGCTTAATTCATTAGATTAAGTTCGGCTCATGAAAAGCACGGCGTCTAAACCGGGCCTTAAATTTACATATTTTAGAATCAGTTCCTTTCCTGGTAACTGCATTTCTAAATGAAATCATCGTGAGTAGTGAGGGATGAGTAGGCCGTTTTACTATAAACAAATTTTAGGAATTCATAACAACTTTGAAAAATATATCGTTGCACATTCGGTCACAGTCGGAAAAATGTTCATAGTATGTTGTACCGTCGCTTGCAACTAACGATGAACAGTTGCTCATAAAAACATTTGCGTGATTAGAATCTCCAATGTTTGTCAAGAACAACAACACTTAATTGTTGTTTCCCATGTGTACAATAATAAGTAAAAAAAACTTTGTGTGGTCTGAATGTGTTGGGCTAGAGACCTACTGGAAACCCTTACAGGCTTTTTAATGAGAATAGAGAATGTTTTATCTGCAACTGTTCACCTTTAGTTGCAACCGACGGTATTTGACAGCATAAAATTGCCTGTGGCTGTGATAACTGATATAAATAAAATACAGTCTGGTTATACTGACTTGAGCGTGTCATGACAAACTCTTTATTGGAAAATTGTGAAGAAACAGTCGAATATAGAGGGTCGAATATCATACTTCAACTTGTATAGCTACAGTAACATTGGTACATAGCGTTGTGAAGACAAGCCTTTTCTTACCTTTCGCTTCAGCAGTCTTTTCCATGCTTTTCTACGCTTTCCCAGGCGAGGTTCTCTTTCCTCGGCAGTCTCCTCGAGCAAACGTTGTCGTCTTCGCTCCCTTCTTTTCGCTAGACGCTCGGCTTTCTTGTCGTTTCCTTGCCGCTCTTCATGGCTAGCTCCATATCTTTTCAATTGGTATTTGATACCGTAATTGTTTGATAAAAGTTTTAATAAAACTAATTGCTTTTAAAGCTGCCAAATGTTTTTGCAAATGTACAAAAAACTGTAGCGCAAAAAGCAAAATATTTTCATGAAGTATCTGTCAGTTAAAGTCGTCATTCGTCATACAACAACAAATTTTAAATTTGACCAATCGGTGTTCGCTATTCATGACAGTCCGCCATATTTTTGAGATCAGTGTGGATGACCCCCCACGCACAGTGACCTACGCCCGCGATATTTGATGAACTTCAGACTTCCCTAATGCTTTCGTTTCCCCGGGTGTAAATAGCCGGGGGAATTAGTACCCTCGCACGGCGCTTCGCGCCGCCGGCTCGGGGATTAATCGATTGTTAATGATTTATTCAGTACGATTAATCGATTGTTACGATAATGAACCGATGGGACAGCTCTAGTTATTCCACTGATCTTAATATAGTTCTAAGTTAAGTTGTTTCCAATTTTTACTACCTACTTTTAAACCAAGGGGCCGATGGCTTGAACATTGACTAGGAAACTTTAACCAACCGTTTTGGTTTTTGGACTTCTGCATGTCTTGTTATTTCAAAATCTTGGCAAGTTCTATAGATGGTATCTGTAACTGCATCCTATCCAGCTACAATTGAGGTCAGTGGATAACTTTGTTGACGTGTCGGCAACACATTCCAGCTATAATTGATGTCATCGGATAATCTGGTTGACATGTTCTCTGAACACACAAGTTCTTATAATTGACGCTGTTGCACGCTGCATGTTATCAATGTAACTTGTAACACAATTTCGGCATTCCGGTATTCTATGCAGAAATTTACTAACAGAAGACCCGCTCGACATTGGGAAATGATTACAATCTAAATGAGCGTTGCTTTGATGTTGAAACGTCTCTTTAATCTTATTTATTAATATATACAGCTAATTCTACTTAAGGAGTTTAACTCGATTTTGATCTTGGCTTTGTTGCACCAAAAAGGATTCTGTATGCACTTTTGATTATAGTGCAGCACAGGAAAATTGAATATATGTTATAAAATTAGATAATACAGTAGTTTTGTATTTTATTTTTGCACTTTATAATATGTGCCGTTTAAACACAATATTTGTTGTTGTGCTTGCTGTCTGTTCACTTTCGTCCCGAGCTGCATGCCATAATGTGGCATAGGTTTATTTTTTACCTCAATTTTTTTTGCCGTTGTCGCGAAAGTCATGCTGCATGAAAGCGCAAAATATTTCATCCTTAGAATGCGTAAGTATGTAGATAGTTGCGTGCATAATTTAGTTGTTTGTGCCAAGAAACACGCCGGGTCAGCTCTTCCCAAAAATCGGCCATCTGATATAAACTTTTTCAATATATTTCGGATGGACATGAAACTTGCTACATCAATATAACTTTCCATTCCGAACAATCGTATGTTTTTATTTTTGAGATTTAACGGTTTTTGGCGGGAAAATGACGTCACGAAACCTCCAGTTAAAATTTACTTTCAATATCTTAATAGTTTTGTCGCAGAATTGGGAAGAACATGTCATGAACAGTTCAAAACTGAAAACAGACTTTAAATATCTAAACCTAATCCAAAGTTATTTCACTATAAAAACCGTGAAAAATCTAAAAATAGTAACAAAATGGTGGAAAATTCGATTCTAAACTCCCTGTATCTCGTGATTAGATTAAGATATTTAAAATCTCTTTTCAGTTTTGAACTCTTCATGACATGATCTTCCACATTCTGCTTAAAAACTATTAAGATATTGAGAATAAATTTTAACTGGAGGTTTCGTGACGTCATTTTCCCGCCAAAAACCGTTAAATCTCAAAAATAAAAAACATACGATTGTTCGGAATGGAAAGTTATATTGATGTAGCAAGTTTCATGTCCATCCGAAATATATTGAAAAAGTTTATATCAGATGGCCGATTTTTGGGAAGAGCTGACCCGGCGTGAAACTGGTTATGCATGGACGGACGTAGATATATGCTATCTCGTATGAAACTATCCAGACCAGGCTTGAGAATTTAGATACAAAAGGTTTTTGTACTTTGTAGCGTAAATTGAAATAAAGAAAAATAAAATCGATACATACACACTCTGTCAGTCTCTTGATTGTAGCACCAGCATTGCTGATCATGACTGATCGTGACTTTGGGTAAAGTTTTCGAAAGCCTTGATTCCGAAAATGGTGTTGGACGTTCAAAAACGGTAAATTCGACTAAACAACAAAGAGATATTTCGAATGACATCGTTTAAAATGAAAGTTTCAGTCCTAATTTTGAACTGAACCTAGCAAAGTATAGTTTGCACCCTATCATTGGCACGGTTGCCTGAATAAATACTTTGTGTGAGCAGCATAATGTATATCCTGTACATTTCCATGCACATGCAATAATGCAGGTTGGCGGAGAGCTTAACGATTTGTTGACTTCCAATTTAAACAAATATTAAGCTATATAAACAAGATAAAATAATTTCGAGAGAGAATGTCCTCGAGAGGAATAGCCTGCGTGGCAGGGTTTTTTTACGGACAGCGAAAATTAAGAGGCCACGAGAGGGATGGATACATCAGTTTAACAGTTCTTTCAAATTAGGAAACATATTTCCATGCCCGGTGCGGATGCACACTCAGAGTAACATCACAAACACCATATTCATCTGGGTACAACACCAACATACACACACAAATGTAATAAACATTTCTGAAAGAATCACAAATAAATGAAATAATGTGCTCATACAGGCATTGTTGGAAATACACTCATAAAGTGATATGGCAATAAAAATGAACTTTGTCTGATTTGAAAGATTAAAGTTATATATGAAGACCGTGTTCAACTTTCTCGTACCTTACTTGGTTTTCGAAATATTTTAACAAAAACAGTGTGCAGTCCGCCTTCTTGGAATTATAATTGACCTATATATTTTTGATGTCATCACAAGCAGGATAAACTTGTTAAAACGTCTTCATGTGGGACAAATTTCTTCGAAAAGTTTCTTTAAATGTTGTGAGTTAATTCAGTTCTAAAAAGACTTCGAAAAATCGAGTTGATAATGACATGTGGTTTTGCAAGATCAAAATTTACCCTACTTGTGACGTATATGCATATCGAATGCATATCCAAGATGGGGGAATGGACGCTGCTTTAATTTGATTAAAATAAGTCGATTTATTTCGAAAACCAAGCAAAATACGTACAGGAAGTTTATATGTAATTTTAAATGCTTTTTCAACTAAGACAAACTTAATTTATATCGCCATATCCCTAATAACTACAGTACCTCAAAACAACCTGTGGGTGGGAGGTCAGAAGGTGGGAGGCCAGAAGGTGGGAGGTCAGAAGGTGGGAAGCCAGAAAAGGGGAGGCCAGAAGGTGGGAGGCCAGAAGGTGGGAGGTCAGAAAGTAGGAGGCCAGAAAGTGGGAGGCCAGAAGGTGGGAGGTCAGAAGGTGGGAGGTCAGAAGGTGGGAGGTCAGAAGGTGGGAGGTCAGAAGATGGGTCAAAATGCCATCAATGGAATTCGGCGAAGTTAATAAAAGATGCACTAATAACATTTAACACGTTGGTCAAATTTAGCAAAAATTCTCCCACTCGTGCGGGCTCGTATTGTCAGCGGACATCTTACAGAAAGTGGGCAGTTCTGTGTAAAATGCAAAAGTTTCAAAAAAACGAATTCTTAAAACGTTCAGTTCTACAAACATAATTATGATATTTACATACTGGTCTTAGATCATATCCAGATAAAATTGTTTGTGGTAAAAGATCTATGAGATTTTCATTGTCAATATTCTTCTCAAACAAATGTTCGCATAATTTTTTTCGGCGATCCCGCTCAGCGACGTGATGTTAGTCGTGATCAATGCTTCGTCATATTTTGCGATGGAAGGATGATTCTCAATACACGTTTTTGATTTTTTTTATATCTTCGCATAAATATTTAACAGTTATTCTACGAACTCGAGTCGAATATTACGAAAGTCACCGAACTGTGGAATGGGTCCAAATTTTTGTATTGCGACCACACCCACTTTCTTGAAGAAAGTTGTAAATATTCTTCAAGAAAGTGGGCGTGTTCCTCATAATGTACTGAATATTATATTATATTTACGATAATAAACATGGCCGAGACAAGTAAGGCAGGACCGCAGGACGTGTTTATGAGCGTGGAAAAGCAATTGGTCATGATTTAAGACAGAAAATAATCCAAGATATTGTTGAAAAGGGAGGAGACTTTGTTACAGGGTTCTTTGACGGAAATTTTAAAGAAATTGCCCTCATGAACCGAATAAAATACGACACCGTTAGAAAGATTTGGAAACAGTTCTGCGAAACTGGTAACGCCTGTATTCGCCAGAATTTAACCCAGCTGAAAACGTATTTAATAAGCTGAAAACAATTCTAAGGCGATTTGAGTACAGAGAACTGTTGCGGGACAGTCTTCATGTGGCTGTACACCAAGCTCTACAAGAAATTGATATGAATGATATGAGAGGATTTTTTAAGTTCACTGGATACATTAATGTTTAACTGTTTAAAGCCTGTTTCAAACGTCATTCTTCTCATGTGTCGAATGCATTAGAAACAACATTAATAGATGATGCATTTCAGCTGATGTTTGAAACACGCCTTACTCATATGCTTAAGTAATTAGTGCATGTTCAGAAACTTTTGTATACACTAGATCAAGGGAATATTTTATGTAGGCTAAGCCTGTCCATAGGAATTCCTTTGATTGTCTATGGCCTGTCTGAACATGGTAGTTCAGACAATATAAATGTTGCATGTAGAACACGTATCATAGAACATTTTAAACCTTGTAAAATTCCAAATTTGTCCATATATAATTGTTCAAATTGTTTCATGTATTTTAATACTAGATAAATAAATCAACCGTATTTCAGTTTATAATATCAATGTATTACAAATAGCCATATTACAAATACAGCAGTTGCACTGTCACTACCGACCATAATTGTGTATAATTTCTCTTATATGGCACGACTTCCACAAGTCAGTCAGAAATGATAAAGCACAATTTTCAAAGGTTACATTATCCTGAAACAGCCGCATATTTCTGTATCAAATATTAAATATGCGGCTGTTTCAGGTTAACGTTAATACATGCATGACAATATCAGTGATGCTCACAACAGATTGATGTTATTTTAACGCTTTCAATTGATATTTTTTAACTGTAAAACAAGAAACTATAACAATTTCCAACTCAAAAGCAACGCGCAAAATAACGAATAACAAATGTCAACTGTCAATATCAACTATGTAATCTATATAATTAGATTTACCGAGATTGTTATGAATTGTGTAAAATTACCGTAGTTTATTCGCTCATTAATTGTGCTGCCTTAAAAAGTAGCGAAAGTCCGTAATCTGTTTCTTCCTCGGATTCTTCAACGAAATCATGGCGCTCAGAGCGACCAGTACAACTAATCGCGGGTATCCCAGCGACGGTGTGCATATCCGATAATGGCAATGATTGCAAACTTTGTTCAATTCCTATTTTAATGTGGTAATTCTCTTCCTCCAAAGTAGCGGGGAAATATTGCCCTGATGCTGTAGAAGGAATTACTTGACTGCTAGTAGAATAAGTGCTGTTCGGAAGTACGCCTTTCCCTGGAAATTTTATTCCTTTCTGTTCCCAAAGCTTGACCACTGGATTTACATGTTCACGTTGTGTTGACTGTTCGCTCACAGTTTCATTAAAAACATCAAATCCTGCTTCATACTTGGTTAGTAAGTTCTGAATTTCTCCAATATCTGGAACTTTTCCCTTACACACTCTTTCAAGCTTTCGAATATCTGTATTCACGACTAGCCAGTTCGGTACGTTGTCTCCAGCGATAGTTTTCCTAAGGTATTTATCAGGATTGCTGTTAATTAGATTTGCTTGCACTTTGGCAGCAAATGTGTTGAGAGCTGAGGCGTAGGATTCTTTCTTGGAAGTAAGATCGTTTTCTAGTTGCTTTAATTTCCCATTTAAAACTTTCAACTCAGACTGTATTTGTTTAATATATTTCTCCTCATCTGGGTGCCGTTTGATTTCTTTACATATTGTCGCAGAAGAACAAGGAGGGAATGAACAAATAGATTTATTATGTCCCGCTGAATGGCAAACTGAGCATAAAGACGCCTTCTTGCCTGCCACGGTGGCGCCAGTTAGTGGTTTACAGCTATTTTGAAGTTCAGATAATTCACGTTGCTTCTTTGCGACATTTTGTTCTACATTGTCCTTGTCTTTCGAAAGTTTATCAAAGAACTTATCAGCGGGAGACCGGTATATTTTATCAGCTGTCTCAGTGGTGGTATTATCAAACTCAAGGCATTTCGCGGCTGACAGAGGTCTTGACTTTTTAGCCATGTGTACTAATACAGCGTCCGCGGATTTTGGAGAGGGAGACGGAGAAACTCGAGAACGCTTTTGTGAAACGCCGTGCTTTGCGCCATCTTGTGGTGTGTTAGCTAACTCATTCACTTTAAGTTGAATAATTTTTAGGTTTTCGCGAGTTGAGTTTCTTGCCGTTTCGACCATATCAATAAATGAATCAAGATCTCCGATTGGAAGGTCAACCCAGTCCTCTCTGTCATCCAAATACTTTAATGCAACTTCTTTGCCACAAAGACTCGGAACTCTTTCCAAAATTCTTTGCATAAGTGAGTGAAAATCTAACGTTTTCATCTCAATTGAGTTCAAAAACAGCTTAACACACCTATCTCCACCGAGTTTCACTTTAAATTCATATCTATCCATAGTTATTATATTTATAAAGCTGATCTGTTAAATTTGTTCTGATATTCGAGTCGATTCCGAGTCAGACAACAACAACTCGAAGAAAGAGGGTGTGTCAATTAAAGAAAGTGGGTGTGGTCGCAATACAAAAATTTGGACCCATTCCACAGTTCGGTGACTTTCGTAATATGAGCTGATAGCCGATGAGGCGCGTACCGCCGAATCGGCTATCGCTCATATTCGACGAGAGTGAGTGGAATAACTGTTTTATTATATACTATGACACGGTCTGAATTCACAGACTTTGCTTTTCGGATATTTCCAATATTTTTCTATTTTGTTGATGTTTTTATCTTCGCTCTTTCGGCCGATTATTTCTTCAAAAATATATATTTTTAACCACTTTAAATTTTAAAAATTCATTTGCTAACCTGTAATTAAACAATTTGTGCGAGTTTTTCACTGTGTTTTTAATCCTGTAAAGGCTATAAAAAGCGAACAACTTGCCGTTTTCTCGTTCGCAAAAATAGGAAATTAATTCAGTTTGAGCCGTCATTTTGTTTTTCTCTACTAGTAGGATATGAACTAATATCCTACTAGTAGAGAACCAATCAGATTGTAGAATATCTCATATCCAGACCTTGTGTACATAATAATGTTGGATATTGTAATGCCAGACCTGCAGGCACGCTTACTCCAAAACAGGTCTAATTTTGGTAGTATATACCATGCAGTAATCAATGTGCATGTCTATACACGCGTTGGACCAGGCAAGGTTGGCCTAGGCTACTAATTACAAAAGATAACAGTAAAGCTATGACATGCAGGTAAAGCTACATTGTGACTACGTATATCAATCGTGCTATTACTCCGTCCAAATATTTGTATTAAAGTCAATACTTTTGACATATAATGTCCTTCGATAATAGTTAATTCGTTCATTTGATATGTAATTCAAATTTTCTTTCCAACTACTCCACGATAAAGTTTTTTTCATTCAATCCCGCTTTTCAGCATAAATGATGTTTACCATGCATGGAGATCATATCCACGTCAATTGAAGTTGATTTTAAAAGACCGACAGATGATTCACAAGTAACTCGAATGTGTTCAAATCGCTTTAACAAACTGGCTCGTTATTTTTAATTCAGCTAACTTGTTTTAACTCTGGAATCAACTCGGTATTAATTTATACAACCGACCCCTGTCTAACTGATATAACCAACCCCTGCTTCGTTTAACACTATGTTGTTTAACGTTTCGTGCAGTAACACTGTTCGTGCTGAGGTAACTGCGGTCGTGAGGTGGCGCTTGGATGATTTAAAAGCAAATGGGAAAATCCTGATAGCGACATCTACCGACGTAGCCGAAGTAGTGTAGTAGTTCATTTTATCTGGACGAAAAACTCGCATCTTGAAAAGTATTTTGGAATTACGCTAATGATTTATAATTTTGTATGTTCTATATTGAGGATAAGCTTTTTCTTTTTTCAGGCTGCTCAATTTATCTTTCTTCTTTCTTCTTAAATATTTGCAGAAGTTCCACAACACACGTAGAGCTTGATTTTTGTGAGATTTAAGGCAGAATTCCCTACCAGTACTAGTCGCTAGGCTGATTACAACGACGAATTTTGAATAGAATATGTCGATAAGCTCTTCTGTATTTGATATGTCTCATTCCATAGATGAAAGCATTCACGATCGAATTTATTCCATAAAGTTCATAATTAAAAACTACGTACCACATCTGTTCACATGACAGACTACAGGAATATCGTAGCACCAACCCAACTACAGTTGGAGTGAGGACACAGAAAGCCAAAACTGCAACAACAATAGAAAATGTCTTAAGTGCTTTTACAGCGTGAAAAAATTTATGTATTGTAGCAGACATTTTGTTTTTAGGTTGTCCGTCGGAAGCTGTAATGGGTACTGCTGTTTCAGCAAAGATACGTTTTCGTTGTTTCTCAGCAACAATTAAAATTCGGATGTTAAGAATTAGTATTAAAGTAAGTGGTAGGTAAACAAAAATTTCTATAGAACGCTGCATATATTTATTAGTATCGCAAAAACTTCTTAATTTGAAATCAAATCTTCTCCAATGAACTAGTAAAAATACGAAAAGACAACACGCAGTCAGCCAAATTCCAGAAATAGCTAGAAAAACTCGTCCTTTGGTCACAATCATCGGATACTTGAGAGGTTTTACAATATATAAATAACGATCAACAGTAATGGCGAGAAGTGTAGACACTGAAGCGAACAACAACGACCAGATGGTAGAACGACTTAACTTACAAAACAGATTCTGATCACTATCAATGTTTAATATAGTCAGTGTAAACTCAATGATCGACATTGGATAAAAGGTTACACAAACGAGAAGATCTGCCATTGCCAAGTTTCCTACCAAATACGATGTCGCTGTCTTTTCCTTGTTCGTCAAAATTGAATAGATTATAACTGTCATGTTTCCCAAAATTCCAATAATCATTGCGATGAATTTAAAAACAACTGAAAACAGAAGAACCTCGCTTGGTACTGCGGAGAAATGCGTTGAATTATTAGCCATGGTTGTCTTTTGAAGAATATATAAAGACTACAATGTTTTGGAGTTGACTGAGAGCAACGAAATGAAAAACACGTCAGAGTAAGGATTATATATGCAGAGTTTGCATAGCGGTCATTATCTACTTGAAACAAGTTTAAAGTAAAACACTAAAATGTGATTAAAATAGGTTAGGTCTCAAAATTTTTATCGCATAGGTAAATATGCATCCCATAGTAAAATATGTTCGCTCTTGGCCATTGCATAAACTTACAATGAAAATGATTTAAAAATCTCACGTTTAAGTTGTGTAGCTTAATACATTAAAATTCCTGCAAATACTTTGCGTAATAAACACGCCTGAATTACGCATGCACCGAAGGGTAAAATTATTCAGTTTACAGCATCAAAAGATTTAGTATTAATTTTTTGCAAATAAATAATATATACTTGTTCGCGCAAAGACCCTTTTATAAGGACCACATTGTACGATTAAAAAATATAAAAGGCACAAGGCATGATTTAAAAATAATATTAAACTATACCGAGTTCTTAACCAAGAATAAGATAACTATAAATTTTTAGTGAACTACTGTAGTGAAGTAAGAACAGTAATGACATTGAAAGCAACTGTTCACTTGTTTATCACAAAACGTGTATGTTTTAAAGAATTCTTGATAATGTTGGAATTAAGTGAAAACATTTTTAAAACATTTCAAATCGCACTATTTAGTGGGCTTTTCAATAACATTTCAAAGACCTGACGTTGCCTTAAGCATCGTTGACATTGCTGAATAAGTGTTTTATTAAAACATATTAATGAAAACCCATGCAGTACTTCAAAACATGTGCATCACGTTCAAGGGTTTAACATTTTCCATCAGTATATTATATAGTTACAAAGACCTAGTTACAATAGTCACCAAATCCTAGAAATGTTGCATGCGAGGTTTAGAAATGAAGCGGATGTCCTTTATTTTAATTGTTTTTCAAAAAACAAACGAAAAAGTTTTAAGAGCGTCGTCCTGCTGCCATCAATAAGGTTGCTAGGCAACCTGCAATGTGGTTGCTAGGCAACCTGTTGTTGCCATTTCATCAGACGTGAAGTAATATAAAGCACTTTCCTATGTTGTCTCATTATCGTGTATGTGACATTAGTTGGAGCCTAACGAAAACGAGGCTCTAAAGCCAAGGTGATGTATTTTTTCTGAAGCGTGTATTAAGTCCTCTTTTAGGAAGCAATAATATAGATGCTAAAGGCAAAGAATGTGTCTCACCTCCCAACTTTCTATGGTCTCCCAAACTGATTAGGGATCTCCCAGAGACGTAAGATATTAAAAACGGGTTTGAATTGGTAATTAGAAGAGCTCTTTCATTGGAAAAAAATCCTGTTTGCATGAGAACGAAAAAATTGACCATGTAAAAACGGGGCAGTTTTAAAGCGCTATCCACTGGATAGTGATATTTAGAAACGCTCTGAAATTCTCCGTTGAGTGATATAACTCAGATTAAGGTGGCTCCCCAGAGTTTTATCCCCTGGTGTTACGTTATTCGTATGTATAGCTGTGTGAAATATCGCGTGTAACTCGTGTGATTTCAAAAGACGAACGAACGTAGTGTTTTATATGAAACTCTTTTATGAAACAAATGCGTGAACTTTGGGATAAAAGGATAAAAGGAGTTCTAAAATCCACAACGATACTTGCACGTGATGTGATGTTTCAGAAAGAGACAATATAAATTTTTTTCAAGCAGTATTCTGGACGTTTTTGATCGCCGTACGCGAGGGTCGCATTGCGAACATTGGGATATGATTATGATATAAAGTTTCCTCAAGTATTTGCAGTGTTTTTTGCACAATCGAGCAGCACTTTTAACAATACTCCAAGATGATTTAAATATTGAGCCCTCTAGGAGTGAAATGAGCAGGGTCGAAACTCTACAAACATACCGCCGTAAAAACCGAAATTTGAATGGGCGTTTTACGAAAACATCGGACGATAATACCACAGAATAAGGAGTAGAACCAGAAGGGACACTCCTTTGATGTTAGGCGGTAGCGCCGACATACGCCTGCGTACACCCGCGAGAGAGCGGCGGCCATGTTCTTAGGTAGTATAGTGTGAGAATTTTACTATAAACAATATGGCGAAAACAGCACTATGATTATTAAAACTGCTCCTTTTGGAATATAAGTGGACTATTTTCATCTGTTTTATAAATATATTGAAGAAAAGGTAAGCGACTTTTTATTTGCCAAGTCTGGTAGCGTAATTATTTTTTTTTGGCACAATTTAGTTGCGAGTTTTGCTCGGGAGTATGAAGGCTCTCATGACAGCTAAATATATAAATGTTTTGGTAGATTCTCGCACGTTTAAATATTTCTTTATTGTTTTAATAATTGTCCAAATTATTCCCTGGACGGGTTATTGATGGCCATTGATCATTTTACTATGTATACGGTATACAAAGTATTTTATGTGTATTATTTCAAAGCAGGACAAATAATCATTTTTGTAATTCATACTCCAATAATTGGGGAAAGCAAGCTTTCAAAACAGGCACTCCATGAAATTGATAAAGTAAATAAACTTATAAAGAAATTATAGATATGTCTAGCTATTTAAATGTGTTACTATCTAGTAGTCACTAGTCATCAAGTCATGGATACATTCATCAAGTTAATTTTAATAATTTGTTTTAAACTTCATGCAGGGATGGTTGCAGTCTTGCAGATGTTGAAAGAGCTTCTGCGTCTTCAGAGGTCAAACAGTGATACCACATAGAACTCAATATTGGGTCAATTGGATACTTAATTATTTTTGGAATCACTATATTGACACAGACTATGCTTACAGAATGTGCTTTGATTGTCAGTGGTACATTAACTTTAAGGTCATGTGGATTATAGAGTGTTACTGGAATATACAAGACATTTAAAATCAGAAAATTGAGAAAGAATTAAGGGACTATCGAACGTTTACAATTGCAAAGAAACTTAAAATGGTTATTGTTACATTAAATATTTGGTTGGCAGTATTTAATATGATTTACTTAAGACCGATAGACTCTGGTCTAGTTCAGGTAGACCAATAGACTCTAGTCTTGATAGACTCTGGTCTAGCTCATAAGCGCACTTGCCTTTCACCTCTGAGGCCGCAGGTTCAAGCCTCAGTGAGAAACTTCTCAATGCGACTCGAACCGAGTCCTCATATATGTGAAAAGAGCAAAAGTCAACGCTCTGCTGAAAGTTGTGGGTTTCCCGGGTACTCCAGTTTCCTCCCACAGGGAAAGTTGACAGGGTGCGTTAGGTAAAAAGGGCCCACAGTAATTGGCATATGCTGTTGTGGTGACCCTACCCTAGTTGGCAAAGCTAAATGAATAAAAAAATACATGTAAGTTTTCATGTGCCTGATGTGAGTGGACAAGTCATATTTTTTCAGCTCATTCTTGTTAGGTTTGATTTTTAATATACTACCTTCATTAGGTCATCTTAAAACATTTAGTGGCCATGAACTACCCCTTCACTTTTCCATTACTCCTCGCAGTGCCATAACAAGACACGATAATTTTTTTGGGGGGGTTGCATGTTCATATATATATATGTGTTCTGCCAGACGAATAAGACTTCTTTTGAAATTGATTGCTTTTATGGTATGGTATGTTAACATATCAATATGCACCCCCCCCCCAATTATGCACCCTCCCCCCCCCCAATTATTGCATCTTGTTACAGCCCGGACTCCGCCTAATCACAATTCAAAACAATTTTGAAATTAAAAGGATGATGAATCATCTGGTTTTAAAATTATGTATTACAACGTTGAAAGTTATTTATTGCTATGTCTATTGTAAATACAAAAATCTTCTAGTTACGGCCTAAAATACCAATTGTAAGAATTGTGTAAATAAGAGCAAAGTATATATTATATGAGATATATAGAAATATATTCATCTTCATTTGAAGCAATTGAAGGTATTCCTTTCTTGTAACCAATAAGTGTGTTTTCATACAAGAAATTTTCATATTATGACTTTAAGAAGGACAAAATTGCAGGCTTGCATTGATCTGCAGTCAACTGCTCCAACAATAAATTACGGGACAAATCCCTAAGGTTTTTTCGATTTCCCTTGAATGCTGAAAGGTAAGAAATTACTTTTTTTTAATAGGATGCTTTTGGTTTCATAAACTTAAAGTAGACATTATAGACTACAAACTTTTTTCTATTGCAGCAAGACATCATAATTTGCAGAATATATATATTTCTTTTTGGGTGTGTTTATGAGAGTGTCTAAATTAACATGACCTAGGAAAACTTGTAAGAGGCCAGGTATAAAAAGTGGATGGAAAACCATTCTTTATAAATTAGATATTAAAGCATGGGCTTGGGTTATTAACTTTTATTAGAGAGGAGCCGGAAACTCTGCAGCTACTGCCTACTTGTGAGTTGTAGAACCAATATTCATTTGAAAATTTTTTAAATTTATCAAAATATATAAAGTGAATCATTTCGGTGTATCTGTTCCGATATGCTCTATTTTAAAATAAGTTCTTACTTTGTTCGCGTAAATATTTATTAAATTGCAATTATATGTAAAATAATTTGGACAAATTATTTAAAAAAAACATTTATATGAGCCATACTGCCATATGATATGAGCTGTCATGAGAGCCTTCATACTCCCGAGCAAAACTCGCAACTAAATTGTGCCCAAAAAAAATAATTACGCTACCAGACTTGACAAATAAAAATTCACTTACCTTTTCTTCAAAATATTCATAAAACAGATGAAAATAGTCCACTTATATTCCAAAAGGAGCAGTTTTAATAATCATAGTGCGGTTTTCGCCATATTGTTTATAGTAAAATTCTCACACTATACTATAGTGATGGGCGATACCGAGTACTGAGTATTCGATACCAGCGATACCACAAACAGCGGTATCGGTGTCGATTACTGACGTGGTATCGTTCGATACTTGCATCCTTTTTTAAACGACTTGTTTAATTTCACTTTTTGGTTGAATAAGACTTAATGAACCACTAAAAGAACTCTTAATATTCCAAATGTGCTGCGCCAAGTCATGTATAGAAAATATTTATTACGTTTCAGGCTTTTGGTTTACTTATAGCTTTATTTATTTTACATACAGTAATGTAAAATGTTTTTCTGCTGATCGGCATGTATCGAAAGTAGCCGATACTAGCAATTTAAGTACTGACTTCCGGTATCGAAAATTGAAATTTGGTGTTTATTTTGGTGTCGAAATAGGTATCGGTATCGGCCGATACCGATCTTAAAAGTATCGGTATCGGTATCGAATTAAAGATCCTGGTATCGCCCATCACTACTTGATACTACCTAAGAACATGGCCGCCGCTCTCTGGCGGGTGTATGCAGGCCTATGTCGGCGCTACCGCCTAACATCAAAGGAGTGTCCCTTCTGGCACAGAATAAGGAGTAGAACCAGAACGGACACTCCTTTGATGTTAGGCGGTAGCGCCGAAATAGGCCTGCATACACCCGCGAGAGAGCGGCGGCCATGTTTTTAGGTAGTATAGTGTGAGAATTTTACTATAAACAATATGGCGAAAACCGCACTATGATTATTAAAACTGCTCCTTTTGGAATATAAGTGGACTATTTTCATCTGTTTTATGAATATATTGAAGAAAAGGTAAGCGACTTTTTATTTGTCAAGTCTGGTAGCGTCATTTTTTTTTTTTGGCGCAATTTAGTTGCGAGTTTTGCTCTGTAGTATGAAGGTTCTCATGACAGCTCATATCATATGGCTCATATAAATGTTTTTTTTTAAATAATTTGTCCAAATTATTTTACATATAATTGCAATTTAATATATATTTTACGCGAGCAAAGTAAGAACTTATTTTAAAATAGAGCATACCGGAACAAATACACCGAAATGATTAAAAAATTTTGATAAATTTTCAAATGAATATTGGTTCTACAACTCGCAAGTACTGTAGCTGCAGAGTTTCCTGGTCCTCTCCAATAAAACCCAAGGCCATGCTTTAATTTCCCTTCTAATAAGATAATTTTATAAAGAATGGTTCTCCACTTTTTTCTACCTGGTCTCTTACAAGTTTTCTTAGGTCATATTAATTTAGACTCCCTCTCATAAACACACCCAAAAAGAAATATATATATATATATTCTGCAAATTATGATGTCTTGCTGTAATAGAAAAGTTTGTAGTCTATAATGTCTACTTTAAATTTATGAAACCAAAAGCATCCTATTTAAAAAAAGTAATTTCTTACCTTTCAGCATTCAAGGGAAATCGAAAAAAGCTTAGGGATTTGTCCCGTAATTTATTGTTGGAGCAGTTGGCTGCAGATCAATGCAAGCCTGCAATTTTGTCCTTCTTAAAGTCATAATATGAAAATTTCTTGTGTGAAAACACACTTATTGATGAACTGGTTACAAGAAAGGACTACCTTCAATTGCTTCAAATGAAGATGAATATATTTCTATATCTCTCACAATATATACTTTACTCCTATTTACACAATTCTTACAATTGGTATTTCAGGCATAACTAGAAGATTTTTGTATTTACAATAGACATAGACATAGCAATAAATAACTTTCAATGTTGTAATACATAATTTTAAAACCAGATGATTCATCATCCTTTTAATTTCAAAATTGTTTTGCGTTGTGATTAGGCGGAGTCCAGGCTCTAACAAGATGCAATAATTGGGGGGGGGGGGGTGCATATTGATATGTTAACATACCATAAAAGCAATCAATTTCAAAAGAAGTCTTATTTGTCTGGCAGAACACATATATATGAACATACAACCCCCCCCCCCCAATTATTGTGTCTAGTTATGGCACAGCGAGGAGTAATGGAAAAGTGAAGGGGTAGTTCATGGCCACTAAATGTTTTAAGATGACCTAATGAAGGTAGTATATTAAAAATCAAACCTAACAAGAATGAGCTGAAACAATATGATTTGTCCACTCACATCAGGCACATGAAAACTTACATGTATTTTTTTTATTTATTTAGCTTTGCCAACTAGGGCATAAAAAAATACCTGTGGTTCTGGTTTCATATCGTGAAAAAATTAGGGTCGGTAGGTCGGAAATACATTTTTTTTTGGGAATATTTTTTTCATGGTTCTGGCATTTTTTTGCTGGGCGATTTTCAGTAGAGTCCCGACATCAATATTAACTAGAGATGCACATTTCCTATGGACGGATTTAGGCAATTTGGTTCAATAATTAGTGTGACAACAGACGCCATTTTGGCACGCTGTATGAGCAGCCTGCAACCACCTGGAGAAAATAGGGTCAGTAGGTCAATCGCGTTGAAAAAATAATAGGGTTGGCAGACAAAAATAGGGTCGGTCGGGAACCAGAATCACAGGTATTTTTTTACGCCTAGGGTAGGGTCACCACAACAGCATATGCCAATTACATTACTGTGGGCCCTTTTTACCTAACACACCTGGGGAAAACCCACGACTTTCAGCAGAGCATTGACTTTTGCTCTTTTCACATATATGAGGACATATGAGGACTGGGTTCGAGTCGCATTGAGAAGTTTCTCATTGAGGCTTGAACCTGCGGCCTCAGAGGTGAAAGGCAAGTGCGCTTATGAACTAGACCAGAGTCTATCAGGACTAGAGTCTATCGGTCTACCTGAACTAGACCAGAGTCTATCGGTCTTAAGCAAATCATATTAAATACTGCCAACCAAATTAATGTAACAACAACCATTTTAACTTTCTTTGCAATTTTACCTTCAATAGTCATATATAATATATTGTAAACCTTCAATAGTCCCTTAATTCTTTCTCAATTTTCTGATTTTATATGTCTTGTATATTCCAGCATTAAATACTCTATAATCCACATAACCTTAAAGTTAATGTACCACTGACAATCAAAGCACATTCTTGTAAGCATAGTCTGTGTCAATATAGTGATTCCAAAAATTATTAAGTATCCAATTGACCCAATATTGAGTTCTATGTGGTATCACTGTTTGAGCTCTGAAGACGCAGAAGATCTTTCAACATCTGCAAGACTGCAACCATCCCTGCATGAAGTTTAAAACAAATTATTAAAATTAACTTGATGAATGTATCCATATGGGACTTGATGACAAGTGACTACTAGATAGTAACACATTTAAATGGCTAGACATATCAATAATTTCTTTATAAGTTTATTTACTTTATCAGTTTCATGGAGTGCCTGTTTTGAAAGATTGCGCATGCTTTCTGGGCCCAATTATTGGAGTATGAATTACAAAAATGATTATTTGTCCTGCTTTGAAATAATACACATAAAATACTTATACCGTATACATAGTAAAATGATCAATGGTCATCAATAACCCGTCCAGGGAATAATTTGGACAATTATTAAAACAATAAAGAAATATTTAATAAACGTGCGAGAATCTACGACTTGACAAAAAAAAGTCGCTTACCTTTTCTTCAATATATTCATAAAACAGATGAAAATAGTCCACTTATATTCCAAAAGGAGCAGTTTTAATCATAGTGCGGTTTTCGCCATATTGTTTATAGTAAAATTGCAGTAAAATTGTTTATAGTAAAAATGCAGGCCTATGTCGGCGCTACCGCCTAACATCAAAGGAGTGTCCCTTCTGGTTCTACTCCTTATTCTGTGGTTGCACTGAACGAGAGTTTACACCATTGACAACGGCGTTGTGCTAGACAGTAAACAAAGACAAGGCCTGTGACGGTACACATTGGCTACATGTACCTCCTTGCTTTTTTTTCTATTGCATAAAGCTTGTTGGCGAGCCAAGCGATTGGTGATAACGCATTGGCTATCTCCTCGTCTTTCTTATTTAAATAAGGAGCTCTGACTCAACTGATTTCTTTAGTCTCGCAAGTTATTTTCTTCGTAAACGCCGTACAAACGTTTACCCGCATCTGTTTAATAGTTGTTTCGCTCTTTGTACTGAGCGTAGCCATCTATTCTGTGATGTAGCACCTTATACAGTCAATGACAATGTATAATGAATACACGTTCTAAATAATATCGATGGGCACTTAATTGAATACCAGTATGCACAACATAATAGTATTATTGCATAGAATCTCAAAGGACAAAGATTTTCTCAATATTCATGTCTGAAATGTTCATATACTTGAAAACAACACTGTCTCGCTTGTGCCTACGTATACTGTACCTCTGTATAACGAGTATGCCGTGAAAATAATATCGGCACTCAATTGAATGCCTAGAATCTCAAAGATTTTCTCAATATTTACGTCTGAAATGTTTATACATTTGAAAACAACACTGTCGCTCCTTCCTAGCTCTGTACATTAATGAATATACCGTCCACATATATCAGTACTTGATTGAAAGACCGTCATGCATAACATAAATTTATATATTGTGTAGATTCTCAAAGATTTACTCAATATTCACGTCTGAAATGTTTAAATTTATACATTTGAAAACAACAAATCCTTCCTGGCATCGTGATCTACGGCTTCATAGCGCATGCGCATTTGCCCTGCTATAGAAAAAATTGGGTGTTCCAGGGGGAAAGATCCTTTACACAACATGAGAAGCGAATGTTCTAAAATTACAAAAATTTACAATAACGACAACGATTCCTCAAAATTTTTGTGAACATGGCAAAAGGACAAAAGAATATTTAAAGAAAATAAATAAAATTGCTTAAATAACCTTCAAAGCACTGACTAAGTACAATAAATCACTGCGAACATAAATCGTATACACCCCCCGGAAAGTTTACTCTATGACTGACTGATTGCCTGACTGACTGATTCGTGTGAATTCGCCAGCCATCACAACAGTGTGAAGTGAAACTTCACACTAAAAAGGGGAGTACTGTAAACGTATTATTTATAGTATTTACAGTACAGTGTATGGTCTTAATATGGAAGAAATTACAATATCCAAATCATAAGTTTTGTTATCTAGAATATCAAAGCTTCTTTTTTGTTAAATCCTTTTCTTGATAGGTCAACATTTATTTACTTGCAAAAAATTACATGGAGAAATTCAGACCGCTCAAAATTATGTCTATAAACCAGTGTAAACCACAGGTATATACATTAAAGTAATCAATTTCCACTCTCTTGCAATTGACAATAACATTGCTGCCAATAAAGATGGATAGGATTGAAACAGATTGCAAATTCACAATGTCAAATAGGATTCCCATGCCGTATATCCTAGTCTAAAAATTATGAACTTATTTATTGAATTAAATATTAAAATTTCACTTAAGTCACACAAACCCAAAACAGAAGATGTGTGAGACCACTATAATGTCTAACTATATGAAAAAATATTACAACAAGCCCCAAAAACCATATTTGAACACGAAATATTAATATCAAAGTATTGTACTGTATTTCAATTGACTTGACCTTGATATAAGATTATGAAATGGATAACTTTGATTGCTACTGGTGATCAGTACAATCATAATGATTTACAATCCTGTTAAATTGGTGTAAGGGCTTTTTATAATAATTGCATTATTTATCACCGCATAAATATTTGCATGTATGCTTATATAACAACAATGAAAGCATGTAAACTTATAAACTACAAATTACTAACTTTAAGGTATTTTCTGTTCTTTTTCTTTGCAGAACCTGCTTCCCTGTTGCCGAAACGTTTGTCCTTATTTTGTTCATAGCCTTTGAATAAGCCAAGAAGTTGGTTGCTGCTGTTTAACTCCTTACTTATCAACTCCTTTCTACAATTCTGGTGGGAATGGTTGAAAAAACATTTCCCGAGTAAATAGCCAGCAACATAAGTGATGGCAATCATCTTGACTGTGCTGTTTTCTAGGTAGGTTTTGTGGTCTCCAACGTCGACATTGAATGGTCGTCGTGGCTGACTTGTTTATGACTGTGGCTCTGATGTAGTAGACATAGTGGTTGCCGGCATTTTACGCTTCAGAGGTCCTACCAGCATAGAAGAGTTTCCTGAATGCCCGTGTGAACTGCAGTGGTGTAGGACTGTCTGAATTTCCACCCTGTTGTCTGATTGCTCCAAAAAAATTCTCCAAAGGATCCTGATTGGATCCTGTCTACAAGATGTTGTTTATGGCAACAGTATTGATGTTATTGCTTTGACAGAGACTTGGCTGTCCAATCATGTACGAAATTACAAAATTTTACCGGTTGGATACAAGTTAATTAGGCATGATCGGCAAACTTGCAAATGGGGAGGTGGTGTATTGTTAGCTGTGATAGATTCTGTCAGAACTGAACCAACTGACTTTGTTTCAGATTCATTGGAATTTGCTTCTGTTGTGATTAATTCGTCATCAAAAAAGTTGTTGTCGCTGTGTGTTGTCACCCTCCTGATTCTTCAATTGATTTCCTGCACAAACTGAACAGTTTCTTGAAATTTGTTGCTGATTCTCAATTTAAAGATGTTGTTTTAATGGGCGACTGACTTTAATTATCCCAATATTCAATAGTCTGATGGAACGGGTTTCTCTACCATAGGATCAGAAATTGGTTTTATTGACCTTGTCACTGACTTTAGTTACTTGCAATTAATCAGCTCATCTACTTGCGGCCATAATCTCATTGACCTGTTCTCACTACGAATGAACATTTGACTGACAACTTTGAAATTACTGATGATTCCATCCCCTTACACTCGGACCATAAAGCTATATCTTTTGACTTAATGTTGCTTGGTCCAAGTGGAAAGCTGCTTTCCTTACTGCTGCTGATAGTTTTATTCCGAAAACATCGCTCAAGCGTTCCTTTACGCCTCCTTATAACGCCAAGGATCTACTTTACGACATCAATATGAATGAGTCCCTAAGGAGAAAAGCAAAGGCTAAGAACTCGCCTCAATTGTGGGAGAAATTTTGCAAGACTCTGCAACATGTCAAATGTTGGATTAATGCCAAGAAGAGAGAATACTTAAATGCACTTTCTCAATCCTTATACAATCACTCCAAATCATTTGGGGGATTTTTTAAGTCTAAATCTTCAAAATCTTCCAAACCTGATGTAATTAAGATAGGGGGTCTTAAACTATTCTCTTCTGGAGAAAAGGCTGATGCTTTTAATATTTATTTGCGTCAGTTTTTACCTCCGATTCAAATTCTTCTTTACCTTTAATTTCTGCTTCGCAGTCATCATCAAACTTTCTTGACTAAATAACTGTTTCTGAATTTGAATTTCAATCTTTGTTATCCAGTTTGTCACCCTCTAAGGCTACTGGGCCTGATGGCATACCAGCATATCTTTTAAAGCGCTATTCCAAAGTCATTGCTCCGTCCTTAACAGTTCTCTTCGAGTTATCTCTTCAGCAGGGTGTATTTCCTTCTGAATGGAAATCTGCTAATGTGGTTCCAATACCTAAGAAAGGTGATGCTCATGAAGTCACCAACAACAGACCTGTTTCATTACTCATGTTACATGTTACATGCTTGATTTTTAGGCAGGTTTCTTCTTTCATTAAGACTCTTTGTATGACATTCAACATGGCTTTCACTGCAATAGGTCATATGTTACTCAACTTTTGAATGTGTTTCATGATCTCGGTCATGCTCTTGATTCTGGCAATGAAACTGATCTTCTTTATCTTGATTTTGGTAAAGCTTTTGACTCTGTATCTCACAGCAAACTCTTGTTTAAACTAAAATCTTTTGGAATCGCTGATTATCTCCATAATCTGAAACAGTGTGTCGTCATCGAAGGAGTTTCTTCTTTCCTTAACATTAAATCTGGTGTGCCACAAGGTAGTGTCATAGGCCCACTACTTTTCATTTTGTATGTGAATGACCTTCCAGAAGTAACAAAGAATTCTGCTGTTGCACTTGTTGCTGATGACAGTTACCGTGCAATTCAGTCACCAGCTGATCGAGATCTCCTACAGACTGATCTTGACTCTATGCACAACATCTTCTAATCAACCCAAAGGCACTAGACTCAATCCCAATGGACCAACTTATCACAGCGCTATTCGTCATGATTCCGTCACTCAGCAAGTACTGTAAACAGAAGCAGTCAACCCCCCCAGGTTAGGCGCTAGCACTTATAATTTTAGGTACAACTGGCCTGATTCAATAAGTTTAATATCAATATATTTATTAAAAAATAGCTATTAGGTCAAAATAAGAAAACTTTAGATTCTCACACGAATTAAGAATAGGCAATGTTTTTATGAGCGACTGTTCATCGTTAGTTGCAGGCGACGGTAATATAAACAAGGTCAAGAACAAGATTTTATCGAAAGCGATTGACTGTTATATCTCCTTTACTATTTTATGATTACAGTAAATAATGTTATCTCCTACAAATTTAGCTTTATTGTAGCCTTTATATTGAAAGTATAAAAACCCATGGAAACGGTAAATTACTATAATAGATTGAAAATAATTGAAATTATCGATGTAGAATGCTATTTTGTTGTATTAAATTTCAATAGTATTAATGAGAATTTTGTTTGATATTTTGAATATATTTCGTGTAAAATGTACTGTAGTTTTGAAGTTTTGCACACAATATAATCTATGTGAGCACAATAACCGGCCATTTCAGTTTGAGCAATATATTTAAATTTAGTATTTTGATAGCGTGGCCTTTCGCGCTATATAATAAACGCCTGATAAATAATCAGTGTGAGCACAGTGGCTCCAAAATAGTAAAATCACAACAAAATAACAGAATATAAAGTAAATTAAAGGGTATTGGCAACAAAAAATGTTATTGATTTTATTGCTTCATCTGAAGGAGCATGAAAAAATAAGCCGATTGGCCGTTTACTGCTCTATTCTATCTCATCTGGTTCCGAAGTTATACACAAAAATGTGCAAAATATAAATTGCTGATTCAGCACATTCTGTGACGTCATAAGCTGGGTAAGTATGTTTATTGAATAGTAAACTAAAGCATAGCTGAGTTATTATTAGCTCAAATCAAATGAAATTTTGCATACAGATAGTACATGATGAGATGCATGGGAAAAATACTTCTAATTTCGTTGTTAAGGCAACACAGTCGTTCCCAGGCCTCTTACACTGATTTTGAATAACTAGTTGCATTTATCTATGTGTATGTCATTTTCGAATTATTATCATGCAAGTAAACTTTTGGCATGCATAGGTATCATACACATACTTCTGATATTATTTTATTCTTATGAGCATCTTGAATAAAACTGTTTCATAAAATTGGCGCAAGGGGCCTGGAAACGACATTGTTACCTTGGCAACAAAATTAGAAGTGTTTTTCCATGCGTCTCATCATGTACAATCAGTATGCAAAATTTCATTTGATTTGGGCCCATAATAACTGAGCTATGCTTCAGTGTAGTATTCAATAAACATACTTACCCAGCTAATGACGTCACACGTTGTGCTGAATCAGCAATTTATATTTTCACATTTTTGCGTATAACTTCGGAACTAGATGAGATAGAATAGAGCATTAAACGGCCAATCGGCTTATTTTTTCATGCTCTTTCAGATGAAGCAATAAGATAGATGCGGCAATTTTTGTTGCCAATCTCCTTTAAAAACAGCAAAGCTTTACCTACCTCGATGTATTTTCTAAGGCGCTTGATTATGTTAATTTTCGGCGAACAATCGACAGTTTCTTTGCATTTGCTCGACGAAAACCACGGAAGAAAACGTGCACACGATTCAAAACTTATAATTATGCTTTATATTGTTACTATGCTCGTCCCACATGATCTGCCACAAGTTTCACCAACAGACACAAATTTTAAGCTATTATATGGCATGCAACAAAAAGAACAAGAATGCTTAGACAAAATAAATGCTGTAGAAGAACTGCTCAAAATAGGCAGCCAACAAGTAAATATCTTTCATTCGCCTGTAAATAGTAGCAATAAAAATATAATATAGTCAACAAAAAACATAATATAAAAAACTTCAAAATAATTAAAAAACACAACAACCTGCACTCCCGCACCAAAAAACCTGGCAAAACCCAACAGCCAATAACAACACGTTACACCATGTCATACCCTAAACCTGACACCACAAATACCTGTCAAATTCAAACGTAAGTGACCACGCCCAACACTGCAACTGGCCTGACATCACAACCAAAGGGACCATGCCCAATTTTGTCGCTGCCCCCGTCCAAAATCACACATTTGCTGACACAGAAAATCTATTTTTAGTAACTCCCCATACTATTCTATACAAAAAATTTTTTGGTTCACACCCACCCCCCTCAAAAAAAGTTTGTCCTTTAACACTTCACTACTCTTATGTAGTTCTAATATGATTTGTACAATTTTATCAATTTAGGTGTTCAATGTAATTTTATAATCACGGACAAACACAGACACATGGGTGAAGTATGCAAATGCGAAATGTCAACAAAAACAATGCTTGACTCTCAGCCAGAAAGCCATCAGTGAAACAATGGAAGGGGAAACCACTGAAGACGAAAAACAGGACTCTGGGGATGACAGTTATCATTGCTAAGAAGAAATTAAATCTGAATTTGAAGACGATATAGAAACAAGGTAAAGACATACTAGTCACTTTACGTAAATATATTGTTAATGAAGTTGAATATGTTGGAAAAGAGACAGATAGTTAAAATCGAACAACTGGCAACTAAGCAAGACAACAATAACTTGGAACACATTTTTGTGGCATATATTTTGGGCAGAGAAGTGCTCGAAAACAGTTCCGGCCGAACTGTCTAGAGGCTCTCGCTAACCTAAGTTTTATCTAGAGAAATAGGCGAATCTCTAGACTGCAGAGGGCATGCTTGGCTCTGTGCATGTCGTTCAGCGAGCTGAGACCTAGTTGGACTGGTGAACAACTATTGGTATAGGGCACATTACCCAGGGTACTCAAAGCTGGCTGAGGATACACGCAAAAACTGTAGGTTGTTCTAGAGGAACAGGCGGACCTCTAGATAACAGGGGAACAGGCAAACCCCCGTTCAGATCCGTCAGGCCGTCGACATTGAGACCTAGTTGGACTGGTGAACAACTATTGGTATAGGGCACATTACCCCGGGCCGCAACTGACAACCTGACTGACCACATCGAGTCTCTAGGACTGCTCATTCAGGTGTTCAGTGCGACCTGAATGAGCAGTGATTGCGCTTCACGTGGTGAAGTGTTGTCCATCGGACAGCACTTCCCTGCCATTAATGACAATCTATACGAAGTATAGGTTGTCGTTTCCGCCACGGGAAGCAGCGCAGAGTCGACCGGGTCGGCAATAAAGTGAAAAAGGGGTGGTTAAAGAATAAAAATTTGTTTTTTGCTTTGCGTTTAGCATGTCAATATTCGGCAGATTCATTAAATGTTTGAACTTTGTTGTTGTTTTTATATGAAAGAACTAATTGCAGACCCATTTCAGTTCATTGCCGACGCGGCCAAGTCCGGCTATGTCAATTTAACGAAGTCAAAAGGCCCGAGGTTCACTAGAGAATGCTGTTCACTTGATGCTGACACTTATGCTAAGGCTGGGTAATCAGGGAGGCCAGGAAAAAACCTGCAGTACAGGAAAACCTGGGTAGGGCCAAGACCACCCGCAGCTCCCCACATAGCTCTATCTTTACAAGTGTAAGAAGAATCAGCATCATGGTAAACAGCACCGTACCTAAGACTGCAAACGATAACGTTGGAGCGAGGGCTATATATAATAGTAGCATAGTGTTTTTACCCTTTTACTCTGCGGGTTTACAAGTAGGCTGGCATTTTCAACTAGCTGCTTTTTCTACAACCAGTATAAAGTGTTTATAACCATTTTATTCCTGCATTTGAATTTGCCATTGTTTAAACTGGATTATAGAAACTTCTGAGCATTATAAACTACTAGTTAAACCTCAGTAAAACCTCGTCCTCGCAATTCATGCAGAAACATTACAATACATATAGACAGTTCATAGGTTAGAATGTTTTAGAGTTCATAATCGAGCGATGATGCTGCAATCCGGGAATAGTCTTCGGTTCAGATAGCAGGAGTGAACATCACAAGAACGCATTCGAGTTTGTTGTTCGCCTTAAAAACAAAAGGAAAGACGCAAGAGAAAAAACGAGTGCTCTACCTGTACAGTGAGAAATTTGTGGAACTAGGTGATGAATGTATAGGTGGAAAGATAACTGAATACTTAACGTGCATCTAAGGACGAAAAACAGACTCGTATTCATTTATGCAATGTTCGTTCCTCAAAATCCAAGATCTGATTGATTATGTTAGTGAATATACGCTAATGCCAACTAAACCGCCTTATAAAGCAACTTATGCATGCGGATTGTTATATGATATGGATGAAAATCAATTATTGCTTGCCTCTGCAAATTCCATTGCCAGGCACAGAAAGCGAGTATACATGCATGATGGATCTAGCTGGAGTGTACTGTATAGTACATATATGATAACTTGAAACAGTATAGTGTTTCTCTCAGATTGTGTTTGCCATGCATTTTGGTTGTTTATGCATCCAACTGATGCACAGTCTGGTATTATATAGGTGGGTTTCACTAAGTGTTATACAACATGGGGAACACAACTTTACATTCATGTATTGAAGAATTATACCCACATTACATTGGGGGCTTGTCGTAGTATTAGCGACTACATGTATGTACGTAACGGTAAATCGCGTGCATTTGCAACCATAGAGAAAATAACCGAAACACAACTGCGTTTCTTTTTAGAGGTGTTTAAAGTGCAGAACTAATCTCCTATTGACAGATATCTTCAGGCAAATTGTATTATTGCCAGCTAGTCTACAATTACAAATAGTACACCGTTATTGTGACTTTGTCTTTGGCACTTTTAAATATGTATGCGATGACATTGTAAGTCGTTAGTATTATTACCTATGTGCAATCCAATGGCAGTATAATTATAGCCAGTAAAGCAATTATTATTAAAGGCAAACGATTTTGATAGTTGAAATATTTCC